GTATATGGATATAATTTCATATATTATCATGTTTGAATGGTATAAGCTGCCGTGGGTTATACTATAATTCCAGAAGCTCATAGTAGCTCATAATAGATTGTATTTCACAAGCTAATTCAGCACTAGTTGAGAATATTAGTTAGTATAACAATTACAGGCATAATACAGTGTGTACAGTTGATAGTGAACATCAATTGTTGCCTATTAAAGGAGTTATCCATAATTGATAGTCCACTTCAGTTGCTATCTTTCTAAGTATAACGTTGGGTTTCAAGAATTTAAGCATGTAAATGGAATAGCTTAGACTTCTTGATGTTGGATTAATTTTTATATAGCATCTTGCTGCCATTCCGTATAACAAAATTATTAAAATCTCGTTTGGAAGTGCTGCAGATTTGAACTTGTAATGAACTACTAAATACAAATATGTATGGACCATATCTGGCAGACTTAGATGATTGGAGAATTCACCAGTAAGATGGGTAAGTTAATCACGTAGGGGATTTGGGTATAAGTTGTACTTTGAAATAAGATTCTGTTAAGAACTTTTGCCACTATTAGAGTATTTTAACATGTTGAATTAGGTACATTTTATAAGTTAATGATCCCACGTGTTTTTGACCATAACGTATAATTATCTTTTAAGTGGTCTGATACTATACACGTTTATTTATACTAGTCTTATGGTACGCGTTTTGCACGTGTAACTAAGTCGGTGAGTAGATGACTTTTTAGAAAATCGTATTAGCACTATTAAATATAATATGTTTGTAATAAAAAAAAGTATACTCCTTAAAATATAGCATATAGTTTTACTTGACAAGACTTATCTATAAACTTTTCCGTGTTAATTTTTCTACTTTTCTAATTATCTTTCACCGCCAATACTATTCTTATAAAAACAAATTTAGGTATCCTAAGAGTTTTGTCAACTTGAAAAATAATTTTAATTATACGACGAATTTGACAAATAATTGATTTGAATTTTTAGACTTAATTATTTGACCTTAACATTAACGGAACTAATTTATGTTTTATCGATTCAAATTCTTAATATTAGCTCATCCCAAGTTTTAAATATTTAATTGTAACATGAAAGGGATTTCAATTATGTTATATCTTTCAAATAAGAAATAATTGTATAAGTTAATTAAAATTTAATTTATTTAAAGTACTGAATGCTAAATCTCTCTACATAGTTCAAATAAAAAGAATTAAATTATAGTTAATTTTTAGGTCTTAAATATTTAAAAATTAATATGAAAGATATTATAGTTAAATTGAATAATTATAATAAGAAAGGATTAATTGAGAAACTATAGGCTAAGATAGAAAACCTAATATCGGTCACAAAATTATATATTGTTACTATGTTTGACCAAAAATATATATTTTGATACGACATTTTATTATAGCATTCCATAAGATTTTATTTTTTTGAATCTTACGACATATAAGAATTATTGTTTTATCAAACCTTTTAGAAGTATTATTTTTCTACAATTTCTAATAAAGCATTACAAACTTCAAATAATTAGTTCGACCATAACTTGAATTTCTCTTCTTTTAGTTGTTGTATTTTGGTCTCCTAGTTCGACCATAACTAGGAGACCAAAATACAAAGTATTTTCATGCCTGTATGCGAGCTAGACAAGCAAGAAACAAAGTTAACTGCATTTACAATGATAATCAGGTGAAGATCACAGAACCAAAGCCGATCCAACAGGAGTTCATCCAGTTCTTCAAGCAGCTACTGGGGAAAGCAGCAGACCAAATGTCAGGGATTGATCTAAATATAGTAAGAGATGGGCCATGCTTGACAGTGATTCAACAACAGCAACTGTTAGCTCCAATTACTAATGAGGAAATCAGCCAAATAGTGAGGAACCTGCCTAATAATAAGGCACCAGGCATTGATGGATATCCTGCAGTAATTTTTCAAGGAGTACTGGTCAATCATAGGGCAAGAAGTTACCGATGCTGTGCAGTAACTTTTTACCAAAAAGGAAAGCTANTAATATGGCCATATATTACAATATGTAAATAAAAAAATTAAAGTATGTTATATATTATTACTATTAACTATTATTATTTCTAAATGTAAGCATTCCATTTATTTAAAGATATATTCTTACTCATCCTAATGTGCTTATGGTAGTTTAGAATAGTAACTTTTAGTGTTTAGAAATTTAAGAAATAAATTTATATAACTTAAATATTAGGAGTTTCTACATAGTTCAAATAAGAAAATATTTAATACCAAATTTTTAATGTATTTCACTTAAATATTAGAAAAAAATAATTACACTTTTATCCAATATGACATCATTTTTTAAAGTGTAAAAAAGGCGAACAACATTCCACTAAGGGAGTTTGTGTTTTTAATATAGTATATAATATGTGGATAGATATAGGTATAAATAATTTGTATAAGATAACAGTTTAATTGATTTTGAATAAGTTTTAATTGATATCAAAATCCTAAATATAAGGCCTTAGTTCAAATAAAGAGGATAAAATTAATAAATAAAACTTTAGTTGATCTCAAGATACTGAATATTAGGGAAAAAATATTAAAAAAAAGTTATACTTAATTTTCGGGAGAAATTAAAAAATAGTCAGATTTACCACTGGTCGTTGAAAAATAGCCAAGTTTCAAAAGTCATCGAAATTTAGCCACTTTAAATCTGAGCGAAAACACTGTTCAAAATTCGGAAAAATACGCCCGCAAAATTTACGGGAGTTCCAGCATAAGTATGCTTCAACTCCCGTAAATTTTACGGGAGTTCCAGGATAACTATGCTGGAACTCCCGCAAATTTTACGGGAGTTCAAGCATAATTATGCTGGAACTCCCGCAAATTTTACGGGAGTTCCAGCAAGTATAATTGTCCAGTATAATATACTGGAGTTTGGAGCACTGGTGCTCCAGTCTCCAGCAAATTTTACAAGAGTTAGCAAAGTATACTAGTCCAGCATAATATGCTGAAGTTCGTACACAAATGCACCAGTACTCCCGTATATTATACTGGACCGGTCCCTGTTGCAGCAAAATAGTGGCTATTTTTCATTGATTGATAAACGCTGGCTATTTTTCTTGACCAGTGTGAAAACTGGCTATACCATGATATTTTAACTTAATTTTCAAAAACTTTTGGCCCAAGAACTCCTTCTACGTGTAGTTAATGTTTAGCCTCAAATTTTTTCTAATTTTGGTACAACTAACTTTAATGTTACATACTTTAATTAGGAAAAGAATTTATGTAAAGTAAATCTTAATCGATTTTTAAGTCCTAAATATTAGGACTATTAAAATGTTTCAAAAAAGGAAAAAATTAATAACTAAAATTTAATTGATTTTAAGGTCCTAAATATTAGGAAAATAATATTAAATTATAATTTTGTCCAATATGAAATCTATTTTAAAAGGTAAAAAAGACGAACGTATCCTTTCGTGCTNCAAATCACTGGAATTCACATCCGAGACCTCTAACTATATAGTCAACTTCCGGTTGACTTTTTCCAAAACAAGCTTCCTTCTAAGAGGCTAAGTGCCTCATTTCCAACTAAAACAAATCCAATTCTACCCGATCACCTCAAATACCGATACTGAAACGTAGAGAAACATAATATGGGGAAACGGGGCGGTAACTCACGTGACGACGGGCCGGGTCGTCACATTCAGATACTTAATTATTTATTTTTAATATTAAAGAAAATTATTTATTTATGTTGATTCAAATTCTTAATATTAGTCCATCCCAAATTTTAAGTGTTTACGTAATTATAATTTTAAGTAGTAAGAATTCTATTTTTAAGGATAAGATATTAATGAATATTTTAGTTTCGAATCTTTGATTGCGAGATTATTAGTATTATATCAGTCATCTTTCTCTCTTTTTCTCTTTAATATTGTTAGATATAGATATTTTCTCTATTATTTGTTCTAAGTGTTGATTGTAATTTTTAAATATTATACAAAAAAACTTATGAAGAAAAATATATTGTTTTAGTAGAAGATATTTAAAATATAATATGAAAATATATTATAGTTTCATATAATACAAACTTAATTATGGACTCAAAATTTAATCATCTTAGCAAATGCACTACTATCAAACATTATATTAAAAAAAATACTTGAATTCAGATAATAAAATCATTGAATTACTCACCGTAACATCGCTATCCAATTATTTGGAATCATGATGACAAATTAAGTCACAAATTTAGCTGAGAGAGACGAAATCTACTCCTAAAACTAAGACGAATTGATTGTTAGTTTTTTTTTCTTTTACAAATTTGTGATATTATATAGTTTAAATAAGGAAGAATATAATATGTTAAATTTAGTTGACTGAAGTCCTAAATATTAGGAAAATAATTAAATATCTATGCTTGAATATTAGGAAAATAGTAAAATGACTATTTTGTCTAGTGTTAAAACAAACTTTAAAGGATAAAAAAAGCGAACGACATTTCGCTAAGGGCCTTCGTGCTTTTAATATAGTATAGATATAGATATAGATAGACTATCTATGTATAGAAGTACCTTTCGGGTACTTGTCCAAGAGCTGCACAGATCAATGATAAATATTTTTGTATCACAACCAAAAAAAGCTCTACTTGATGAACAACAAGCTATATCAGTGTATTTTGTTGCCATCCAAGCAACAAATATCTATAAACAGCATACATAAGTGAAGCTTGAAAATAAACTTATAAATACTCTAGATGCCAACAAAAAAATACGCTGCTTAGTTAGAGAACATATGTAGCACTATCGCTGTATAAATCTTTTCTTCCGAAAAGTTTCCAAGTGTATAAGACAATTAAAAATCCATCATAAAAAAATCAAAAAGCTGCTACTTATTCATGAATGGTAGTAGAATACAACTTATAAATTCCAGTAATAGTTTGGCAGCAAAATTGATTTGGACGTATAAGTGGAGAAAAAAGTCATCTTAGAAACATCATATCCTGCTATATATCCTTGAATGGTATAACAAAACCAATAAATTCCAGTAATACTCCAATAGCATAATTGCTTGTCCATGGACATTATTCACGGGAAGATAAAAGAGAGTTTTATATGAGAAAACCATAATTAGTATTACATAACCGAGTAAAACTACTAATTATTCTTATAAATAAACACGTTTCCTTTTTCTGTTTCATTTCCCAGGGACTTCCGCATCACTAGCGACAAGCTGATCCTGCTTCATTCTGCCATATTCCCACATTAACGACCCAAACCTGAGGCGTTGACCATTGATATCAGACACATTTTTTATCACGTTTTGTCCACATATGAATGATTCCGCGAACATTGCAACAAGAACACCACAACCACTACATTTAAAAAACAAAAAATTAAAATTACCATATGTTTTAGAGAAGACTTAAGTTATACGACAACCTGTATAAGACACTGTAACAATTTGCATAAATCTTACGTCTCTTGCTGAATTAGAAACTCATCAACCACGACAACATCAAAGGGATCATCCTCTGTCTTATCTTTATATGGACCTTGATTCAATTCGATGTCATTCCTTTTGCCATAAAAACCAAGAGCACACAGAAAGTACGGGAGTGTAACACCATATGCGTCAATTACTCTTCAGACCTTGGATTTATAAGTGGTACCTTGCTTTGAATCATAAAGGTAAATGCATCTACCTTTGAAAGATAGTATTGCTAGTACCCAGTGCCAATTGTCCATAGAAGCAAGAATGGGAAATAATACGTGGCCACGGACGGTTACAAAGCATTAGATTACCCAAAATGTATTGGGCGACATCGTGATCAGGATTCAACACGATGGTATCTCTATTATGTCCAATAAATTTCTTATGAAGAGACTTAATCTTCAAATCAAATAAATCATTTGTAGTGGTGAATTTCACTGTAACATCTGGATCATATTTTCCTTCTTTCTCAAATAGTAAAATAAGATATCCACATGCTGTCAAAGAATAAAAATATGGTTATTTTAGTCACTAAATCTCTTAACAAAAGGCAATGCACAATATACCCTGATAATTTTTACCCTAAAATTCAAATATATCATATAGCTTACGCCATATACTTGAGTTGTGCATCAAAATAGGATATGTTGTTCCTTTCTTGTTGTCTATAAACTTACAACCAAAGATATAAGACATTTATAAATAAATATTCAATGTATAAATATCTAACGTACCGTATCATTTAAAGGTTGGCCGTTGTATGCAAGCTGGTGGAACCACTCCTTATGAACATGCATCACCCCAAATTCAAATGGCGGTTGTAATACATTATCCTTTTTTGCATAAACACAACCCCTGAAAAATATCGAATTTATCATTAAAAAAATTGGTCTATAAAATACCATATGTATGCTAAATACAGTGGGTACTTACTTTCTTTTTATCCTCAAACCTGTAGTAACCCATATCTTGTACTCACTTGTGATCTTGTTGTAATCATCATCAGTTGCAAAGCATACGAAAGGGTGTCCTCCAGTCACAATGGTCTTCGTTGAGCGTCCTCCCACCGAACTGTTGCTTGAACCAATAACACTCAATAACGATGACTTATTAACTGATCCAGGGCGCTCCTGTCTCATAAAACATTCAGATGTAGGTTCCAATACTGCCGGATTTGTATAATTGACAATTTGTGACTCCGGGACGTTAGTATAAAAATCCTCCATGGGATCTTCGGATGAATATCCAGCACCAACATAAGAAAATTGATTAGTAATAATCGCATTCCAGAAATGTCATTATACAACATGTATGATATTATGATATATTTACTAAAATATCATAATACAACATCCAAAGTTACCAGATGCTTCAAAATTTGTATATTTATTAATCTGGGACTCCGGGACGTCAATATAAAAGTCCTCCATGTGATCCTTAGCTGAAGCACCAGCTCTAACATCACCATCTTGCTCACTTTGGGTAGATAATAAACATACACACATCTAGGTCATGTGAAATGTCTATATCAGTTATACAGATCATTAAGTAGTGAAAAACAAGAACATGTATGTTCATGAGGTACCACAACCCCAGTTCACCCACCGTGAACATGTCGTGATGGCGCCTAGTCTCTACAATTAGGTAAGCCTAAAATGCGGAAAACAAAATAACTTGCGGAAAATAATAATTCAACTTTGAATAGTTAAAAGAAAATACAGTGTATAGATGCCACTTGGCATATACAATTCCATAACACGGAAATCTACAATATCATCCCAAAACCCGGAAACTCACGGGAACACAAGCTAACAGAATGAATACACTGCTCTAACTCCAGAATGTCTAAAACAACAGTAAGAAAGGAAGGATATCTGCTAAAGCTAGAATAACATAGAGACTCCTTGGTCTGCGGACGCGATAGATGTACCTCGAAGTCTCTGCTAGATCTCTTCGCCTCGAGGGTGATACGCCTGGGTGGAGGTACCTGGATCTGCACATGAAAAACATGCGCAGAAGGGGCATGAGTACACCACAGCGGTACTCAGTAAGTGCCAAGCCTAACCTCGGTTGGGTAGTGACGAGGAAGGTCGGGGCCTTACTGAGATAAATATATCTATATATATACATAATGAATGACAGGACAATAAGCAGTAAAACTGAGAATCGATAATAAAGATCTACACAGTATAATAATAGTGCAATAATGGAAACAGAGATAAAAGCATCTAAAGGAAATACCCCCTCACAGCAAGATAAATAATCGGGATCTCTTGGTATCCTCAATATTCACTTTAGGGATCTCTTGGTATCCCGAGGATCTCTTGGTATCCTCAATACATATGACAGAGATCTCTTGGTATCCCGAGGATCTCTTGGTATCCTCAATACACGTGCCAGGGATCTCTTGGTATCCCGCACCTCAATCCAGACCATAATTACGCATAGGGGATCTCCCGGGATGCCGTCCTGTAGTCCCAATTTAAAAACACACAACAAGAGCTCAAGGACATCAAAATAAAACTAAGTCCGTAATGAGTAAACAGTAAATTCTAGCCTAACATGCTTCACATAATGCAATTAAGGCAGTTTAAGCAAATAGGCAATTAATTCAACTAATCATGCTCTTCTAAACTAACAGAGGATATATTTTGCAGGTAGAATAAAGCAAGTAAGGAAGGAACTCAGTTTAAGTACTTAAAGTAAAACCGGATTTTTCAATAGTTAGCTCAAGTACGCGCTCGTCACCTCACGTACAAGGCATTCAATTACCAAGCATCATATCTTAAGGGGAGAAGGTCTCCCACACAAGGTTAGACAAGCCACTTACCTCAAACCGGCTCCAAAATTAACTCGAAACCACACGTTTGCCACGAGTATCCGACTCCAAATGGCCCGAATCTATTCAATTCAATTACATATCATAAATAACATCTCAAGCAACTGATTCTACTATTTAATTTAAAGCTAAGACGCGAATTTAGGTAAAATGACCAAAATGCCCCTTAGGCCAACGTCTCGGAATCGGGTAAATTTTACATTTTCAGAACCCTCGCACTCTCACGAGTCTAACCATACAAAAATCTCTCAAATCGGAGGTCAAACACCCACTCAAAACTCAATAACTTGGTCTATGAAGTTTTACCCCTCTTTCATTCAAAAATCTGAAATTAAGGACGAATTCGTGATTAGATTAGTGGGTTTTAAGCATAAGAGAGAAGAGAATTGTTACCCAGTCGTTGCCCTCGAAATTTCTCCCAAATCCGAGCTCCCAAGCTTGTGTTTTGATAAAAATGGCTAACCCTCGGGTTTTTTTGAAAGTTTATAACTGCCCAGGTAATTAGTGAATCGCGATCACGAAGATAGGACCGCGATCGCGAAGAGTAAAATAAAGGCTCCATGAAAAAGGCCTACGCGAACGTGAGAAGGAGCACGCGATCGCGGAAGAGGAGGAGCTGGCCTTACGCGATCGCGTCTGAAGACACGCGAACGCGAAGAAGGAATGGGCTACTGAGTCACTAGCTCAGTTTTCACTACGCAAACGCGATGGGGAAGCTGCGAACGCGAAAGAGAAAGGGCCAGTTCTATGCGATCGCGAACCAATCCATATGATCGCGATTAAGGAATGGGGCCCCCTCCAAAATTACTCTATAGGAACACGTGAAGGGGTACGCGATCGCGAAGAAGAAAATAGGTCTGCAACAACTGAAGAAATTCTGCAAATTTTAAACAACTCAAAATGCCCCGTTGACCATCCGAAACATACCCGAGGCCCCCGGGACCTCAACCAAACCTACGGACATATCCCATAACACCATTCAAACTGGTACCAATACTTAAACCACCTAAAACAACATCGGAACTCGAATTAATCAAGGATTTAACCCTAAGAACTTCAAACTTCATCAAAAATACGCTTTCGATCAAAAACCTAACCAAAACACGTCCGAATAACCTGAAATTTTGCACACACATCCCAAATGACATGACGGAATTACTGCAACTTCCGGAATTCCATTCCGACCCTCGGATCAAAATCTCACTATCGGACCGGAAACTTTAAAAATTCAAACTTCGGCATTTCAAGCCTAAATTAGCTACGGACCTCCAAAACACATTCTGAACACGCTCCTAACCCCGAAATCACCTAACAGAGCTAACGGAACCATCAGATTTCCATTCCGAGGCTGTCTTCACACTGTTCCGACTACGGGCAACTTTCTAACACTTAAGCTCTCATTTAGGGACTAAGTGTCCCAAAACTCTCTGAAAACCCAACACCGAACGTCCCGGCAAACCAAAATAGCAGAAATGAACTTAGGGGGAGCAGTTACTAGGGGATCAGGGCGTAAATTCCAAAAACGACCGGCCGGGTCGTTACATCCTCCCACACTTAAACATTCGTTTGTCCTCGAACGAGCAAAAAGACATACCTGAAGCAGTGAAAAGATGAGGGTACTGGCTGCGCATATCCTGCTCGGTCTCCCAGGTCGCCTTCTCGACCGGCTGACCCAGCCACTGAACCTTCACGGACGCAATGTTCTTTGGCCTCAGTTTCCTAACTTGCCTGTCCAATATTGCCACTGGCTCCTCAACATAAGATAGATCCTTCTCCATCTAGATTGAGCTGAAATCCAACACGTGCGACGGATCACCGTGATACCTCCGGAGCATCGAGACATGAAATACCGGATGAACCCCTGCCAGGCTGGGAGGTAAGGCACGCTCATAGGCGACTTCCCCAACTCGCCTCAATATCTCAAAAGGGCCAATAAACCTCGGACTCAATTTCCCTTTCTTCCCAAATCTCATAACGCCCTTCATAGGAGAAACCCGAAGCAGAACCCGCTCTCCAACCATGTAGGAAACATCACGAACCTTCCGGTCCGCATAACTCTTCTATCTGGACTAGGTTGTACGGAGTCTATCATGAATCACCTTGACTCTCTCCAAAGCATCCTAAACCAAATATGTGCCCAGTAATCTGGCCTCACCCAGCTCGAACCAACCCAACGAATATCTGCATTGCCTACCATATAAGGCCTCGTACGGTGCCATCTGAATGCTGGACTGGTAGCTGTTGTTGTAGGCAAACTCTGCTAATGGCAAGAACTGATCCCAAGAACCTCCAAACTCAATCACACACGCACGGAGCATATCCTCAAGGATCTGAATAGTGCGCTCGGACTGCCCGTCCGTCTGGGGGTGAAATGCTATGCTCAACTCCACCCGAGTACCCAACTCCTGCTGTACGGCTCTCCAAAACCGCGATGTGAACTGAGTACCTCTGTCTGAAATAATAGAAACTGGAATACCATGTAGACGGACAATCTCCCGGATATAAATCTCCGCCAACCGCTCCGAGGAATAGGTAGTACACGCAGGGATGAAATGCGCGGACTTGGTCAGTCGATCCACAATAACCCAAATGGCATCGAACTTCTTCAAAGTCCGTGGGAGTCCAGATACGAAGTCCATGGTGATCCGCTCCCACTTCCACTCCGGAATCTCTATCTGCTGAAGCAATCCACCCGGTCTCTGGTGCTCATACTTCACTTGCTGACAATTAAGGCACCGAGCTACAAACCCAACTATATCCTTTTTCATCCGCCTCCACCAGTAGTGCTGCCTCAAATCCTGATACATCTTTGCGGCACCCGGATGAATGGAATACCCGAACTGTGGGCCTCCTCTATAATCAACTCCCGAAGCCCATCGACATTGCGTACACAAACTCGACCCTGCATCCTCAATACTCCGTCATCACCAATGGTCACATCTCGAGCATCGCCATGTAACACCTTGTCCTTGAGGACAAGCAAATGAGGGTCATTATACTGCCGCTCCCTTATATGATCAAACAAGGAAGACCGAGAGACCACACAAGCTAGAACCCGATTGGGCTCCGAAAGGTCCAATCTCATAAACTCGCTGGCTAGGGCCTGAACATCCATCGCCATAGGTCTCTCTGCTGCTGGTAAATATGCCAAACTCCCCAAACTCTCCGCCCGGCGACTCAAGGCATCCGCCACCACATTGGCCTTGCCCTGGTGATACAGAATAGTGATGTCATAATCCTTCAACAACTCCAACCATCTCCTCTGATGTAAATTAAGATCCTTCTGCTTGAACAGATGTTGCAAACTCCGGTGATCGGTATATATCTCACAAGGCACACCGTACAGGTAATAACGCCAAATCTTCAAGGCATGAACTATGGCAGCTAACTCAAGATCATAGACAGGATAATTCTTCTCGTGTATCTTCAACTGTCTAGACACGTAGGCAATCACCCTACCGTCCTGCATCAATATCGCTCCAAGGCCAACTCTCGAGGCATCACAATAGACAGTATAG